GGCGGCGCTCAAACGTCTTCTAGACGGCGATTTCAGGTCAGCCGGCTCTACCCCTTTTGAAAAAAATTAAGCTCCTCCCCCTCTGCAGAAAAAAATAATTTCGCTCCGCCCACTCACCCGACCAAATTCCAGGTGGATGTTCCGCCAACGGATTCGGATCCGCCTAATTGGTGATCCGGGCCGTATCGAGCATATCGAGCTGCACGATCAGCAGCTCAATATCAATTCGAGTAACGCTTGGCATGGAATGCTCTCAGAACGCAGATCGTAAGTCTATACAACTCCCTCAAAAAGTATACCCCCGCATGGTACCCCTCATCAAAAAATTGACCTGAAATTAATTTCAGGGGTGAACAAAGTGACGGGAGTGCCGAGCAGTTGAACGATATCCAACGTGAGGTGGTACTGCCTGAGTTGGCGTTGAATGAGGTGTTCATTGGGGAGAGTTTGTCGTCGCGGGTATCATACTACGAACTACAAATCGACGACGGGCAGCCAACCAAACAAAAGAGTAGCGGTGTAAATGTTTGTACAGGTCACTACTAAAACATCTCATATCCGTCAATCTTATCACCGTTATCAGTAATCTTATCAGTGTTATCACTAATCTTATCACTGCTTTCACCATTCTTATCATTATCATCACTACCCTTATCATTATCACTACCCTTATCATCCAATCCAAGCTGTCATCACCATTATAATTGACGTTATCACTAACTCGAATCTGACCTATTATCATTATAATCCCCTCTTATCACCGTTCTTATCATTATTATCACTATTCTTATCACCCCAGTCTTATCAATGTTATCACCACTATCACTACCGTTATCAGTAGGCCAAGCTTGACCTCTGACCTCATCGTCATCTGCAAATATTCCAGGAACTGGCTCAACCTCGTGGTACTATAATATCATCAAATTGGATGAGGAGAGTGTTAAAGACATAATGCGAATCGCTTCTGATGAATTGAATCAGCAAATACCCTACGAAAACAAAGAACTGGTAAAACGCGTGTGCAGTGCGTTCAACCGAAAACTTATATTCGCACCTGATTTTGAAAGTGAGTTGGAAAAATAATACTTAGCGTAATCTGAAATTAATTTCAGGTCACTTTTCGCCCCCAAAAAATCGACCTATCTCTTTAATCATACGCTTTTAGACGTCTGTTCGCGGTTCTTACGTGCCAACGACACGCCATATTTAAATCGGGAGAGGTGAAGGGGCGGGGCTAAATTATTTTCGAATTTAAAAAAATTCATCAAATACCACATTTTCCTTTTCTTCTTTTCCGTTAATCTCTCATCATCTCTTATTCTCTGTTCCTCCTCCTAACCCATTATATTTTCCGGTTTAGAAATGGCGTTTCTGGTGCGCGACCCAGTTAGCAATGCCACGTTCCTACCGTCCGCGCATCGCGGGTTTGCGTCGCGTATTCGCGTGCGGTCGCGTTGCTACGACGCGCATTTGGTTATAGATGGAGGTGCTGCGTACAAATTTAACGATGGTGCTGAGGCCATTTTAGAGGTCAGTATTATTTTTAATAAATATTATTTATATATGTATATTATTATACAATAAAAATATAATAATAATAATAA